GGCTGTGCTTTAGGAGTGGCAGCTGTGGGACCAGTTAATGGATTGGTTGTGGGAGTGAGGAAATAGAGGCATCCAGGGTGACTACACTAGCTTGCACAATGAGCTCGGTAAGGTTGACATTTACAGAGATGAGGGAGAACAGTCAGGGTTGGGAGATCAAGAGCTACGCATTGGACATCGATGTAGCGATACTCACTGAATATCCACGAGGAGATGACACATAGCTTCTTAGCCCCAGAAGTTTGCAGTGTGGTAGAGAGCTGTCGGCATTTAGGTGGTATTTACAGGCAGGAGGTTGATGGGTAACCTCTCCAAAGGGCAGGTGGCTTAACTCAAGCAGTAGTTGGCTCTGACCTCAGGTGGGCATGCCACTCCCAGTGGCATTTGGCCTTTTCAATAGAGAGAGTGACTTGTAATGTTTTAGTCATTTTACTTTTTACTTCCTGCTCACTTTATGGGGAACAAGGGGTCATGCCGGGATGGCAGCCAAGTGTGAGTAGTCCCAGGAGGAAACCATCAGTTGGAAGAAGCTTTACTGCAGCTCCACATGTTGATTTATCATTTTGGTCCATTTCCATTGACTGAGTTCAGCTGTGTCCCAGAAACTGCACGGGGCATTTAGTGTGTGACAGTGAGTGAAAGGCCATCCCTGCCCTTGGGTGAACCCTAGTCTGTTGGGGAGATAGGGGTGCACAGATATAAGTAAGATATATTACTACGTCAAGAAAGCAGTTTAGTAGATTTTGACTGGTATTAAAATAAAAATTGTGATAAATACCCGTAACATAAATGTTATCATTTTAACTATTAAGTGTGTGTTCAGTGTGTTAATTTCATTCACATAGTTGGCAGCCATCACCACTATCCATCCATATCTCTATGACTTTGATAACTTGTTACCTCATATAAGTGAAATCAGACAGTGTGTGTCCCTTTTATGGTGGTCTTATTTCACTTGGCATAATGTTTAAGGGTTTTTGCTCATGGTAGCATGTGCCAGAATTTTCTTCCTTTTTTTTTTTTTTTTTTTTGAGTTGGAGTCTCACTCTGTCGCCCAGACTGGAGTGCAGTGGCCGCTCCCGGCCACCGCAGCCTCGACCTGCTGGGCTCCGGCGATCCTTCCGCCTCAGCCTTCCGAGTAGCCAGAATTACAGGCATGCGCTACCACGCCCGGCTGATTTTTTGATTTATTGTAGAGATGAGGTCTCACTGCCCAGGCGGGTCTCGAACCCGCGGACTCAGGCAATCCACTCACCTCAGCCTCCCAAAGGCGTGGGATTACAGGCTGAGCCACCGAGCCCGGCTTAATTTTCTTCCTTTTTAAGGCTGAATAATATTCCATTCATTATGGTATGTGTATGCCATATTTTGCACATTCATTCCAGAAATAGCACTTCAGTGTTTATTTTATTCAAGTCAGTCTTGGCATGTGTATTCAAAAGAGTTTCATATGTGGGGAAAAAAAAGAATTTTTAGGACAGTGATAGCACTTTGTATGGTACTGTAACATCACAGGTTTTTTCAAACCCATAGACTATGCAGCACCAAAAGTGAGCCCTAATGTAAACTATGGACTTTGGGTGACGATAGTGTGTCAGTTTAGTTTCGTCCTCTGTAACAAGTGTTCCACTCTGGTGGGGGATGTTAATCACGAGGGACGGGAGGCACGTGGGAACTCTTTGTCCTTTCTGCTCAGTTTTGTTGTGAACCTAAAGCTTCTCTAAAAAGTAGTCTGTTACATTTAAAACAAAACCCAAACAAAAAACCAGGGTGAAGGGTTCTCAGGTGGGGATGGAGCTAGAGTGGCAAGGTGTGTTCAGGGAACAAGGAGGAAACCAGTCTGCGGTGAGGAAGGATTCTTGTTGGGACAGATGGGATCTGAGACTGGAAAAGCAGGTTGGGGCTCCTGCCGATATGCATGGGCTCACACAGGAGATGTTTGTACACAAGGTGTGGCTGTAAGCTTTGTGACATGACACATCTCCTAAATTAAAGAAAATGCACATATTTATTTCCCAGGAACTGGTAAACTTTGAGCAGTCTGGGAAAGCATCAAGATAACTGACTAAATTATATCAATTGTTTAGCCTTGAGTAGGGATATTTTTAACTTAATAAATGTGAGTAGTCTGTTACATTTAACAGACTACTCACATAAAGCAAGTTTTACATATTCACATGCATGTAATTCAGCTTCCAGAACAATTCTTGACCAAGTAAAGTACAGTGGACTCTTGAACTGTGAGAGTCAACTTATGTGTGAATTTTCTTTAGCGTCTGCCACCCCTGAGACAGCAAGTCCAACCCTCCTTCTTCCTTCTCCTCCTCAGCCTACTCAATGTGAAAATGGATGACGACCTTTGTAATACCTACTTCCACTTAATAAATAATAGATATTCTCTTCCTTATGATTGTCTTAATGACAGTTTCTTTTCTCTAGCTTACTTTGTTGTAAGAATATACTATGTAATGCATATGACATACAAAATATGTGTAATCAGTGTTATGTTATTGGTTAGCCGTCCGACTGATTGGTAGTTAAGTTTTGGGGGAGTCAAAAATTATACGTGGACTTTTGGCTGTGTGAGGGGTCAACACTCCTAATCCTTGCCTTGTTCAAGGGTCAACTGTATGTTCTTCCTCTGTGCTTCTTGGTGCACAAATCCAAATGAGTGGCATCAAATACTTGCTTTATTAGGCAGTCCTATTCCTTAGTCTCACAAGGGGTTCTCTGAGCTTGGAAGCAAGAGCTATGTCATCTCTTATGAGGGATGAGGTTTAATTGTTTGGAAGAAAGCATTTGCTTTGAGCAGGTACCAATGGCCAGATTTCCAGGGGAGAGTCAACATCACACCACAGGCTCAGAAGAGATCTTGGTGACAATGAGCTCTGTACCTGGTAGGTGGCTGCGTCGGCTTGTAAACCAGAGAACTGTTTCTCTGGCTAGTTGTAAGATCTTTGACTTGCTAGTTATAGTGAGCAGTGCTCTAATGCCTTCATAAGTCAATCACATGAGTTGGCAGCAGTTGTCATATCTTGCTTGTATTTCTTCATTTTATTCTGTTACTGAATTGTGTACACATATGTAAAGTGTGTCTTTTTTTTTTTTTAATGAAGAGCACTAGGAAAGTTATCCACGGACAATAGTTGTAGATTCTTGGTGTTGCTTGTAGTGTGGGAAAGTGTTGGGAAGATGTGATGATACGACAAGGGACACTATGAAGAAGTGATAGGCATGGAATGGCTGATGAAAGCGCAGGAGGCAGGAGGAAGGCTGGGATGAACCAGGGAAGGACTTGACACTCCCAGGTAGGAAGTCTCTGCAGTGCCCACAGCATGGGAGGACTTGTGTGGAGCCCATAGTCCAGAGCATGGAAGAGCGTGGGGGGCACCTGGGAGGGAGGTGAACAGAGTCGCACTGCTGATTCATTTATTTTGACATAGAAAGGACAGGTAGTAGGTGAAGGGGGAAGGGATGAGAAAATGGACTTTGAGCAAGTTTTAGGAATGGAGGAATGGCGCAGAGGAATGAGAGAAGAAGATCACAGCTTGATAGTCACCACCAAGTTTAATTTTACTTGGCTTTGGGCCAGGGGAAGTAAGGTGGGTCCGATGTGGAGAAGCTCATCTGTGAGGTGAGTGTTCTGATGTTACACCGGATTCATTCCAGTGACATCTGTGCCTGCGTGAGAGTCAAACTTGAGGGAATGGAGAGCAGCTATTGATGACTGCACAGAATGGGGAGGAGATTGAGAAGGAGTCAGGCACATCAGGCTTTCCTTGGAGCCAGGCCATGGGAAGCTTTTTAAGGCACGTGACTGTTGTGTTCGTGGAGGGTTTTGTTTCTTTTTTTGCTAGCTTGCTGGGTATGCAGGTTTGGAGTCTGAGCAGAATTGCTGGGGTGTTAGAGGAGAAGCTGTGCTGGTGTGGACTACAGCAATGCAGTAGTCAGTCACCCACTGATCCATTTTTGTCATTTCACCATCTTCCTGAAACCCATTTGCAGAGTCCAGGCTAACAACCAGTACCTTTAGCAAACTTTTACTATTATATACTTATTTAATGATTATACTTGCAGCTCGGGATTATTTTCTTTGATACCACGACTAATAATGGGTTTTGGAGTTCAAATATATTAATATAAAAAAATAAATATATTAAAATTGGGAAGTATTGGAGGATGTGTTCATTCATGTGATAAATCTGAGTGCCTTCTGTGTGTGTGGGTTTTTCTAGGTGTGGGCAGCTTAGTAGCAAAAACACATAAAAACCCTGTCCTTGTGGAACTCAGATGCTTTGGAGGAAAGCATCAACAACACAAAAGTGAAATGTAATAGTCTTTCAAGGGGTAACAGGTGCTGAGTAGACAAGGCAAGCATGCGTAAAGGCAAGGGGTGAACTTCGTGGACAGCTCAGTGCAGTGGTTTCTGGATTTACTTTGAAGGTTGCAATAACAGGATTTGCTGGTAGCTTAAATGTGTGATGTCTAAGAGAGACAGTGTGGAGATGACCCTGAGGGTTTTCTTTCTTTTATCTGAGCAATGGGAAAGGCATGATTGCTGATAACTGAGAGGAAGAAGACTATGAGAGGAACAGGATTTTTTTGCGGGAAGATAAGATGTTCTGTTTTGGACATTTTTTCATTTGAGTTGCTTATCAGACACCCAAGAGGAGGAGGTGTTGAACAAGCAGTTGGCTGTGAGTCAGGGGTATTTCATGTGTTTCACAGGCACTAGACGTTGTTTTTTAGCACAATTATGATAATCATGTCAGAAAATTATTTTATGTATTACATAAAGATGTTGGCAGTTTATTAGAACCAGGTTTAGAGAAAAGCATGTAATACTCTTTGAGAAATTCTGCGTGCAGTGTCAAAACTGTATAGTTTGTTTATAAAATCTCTTTCCACCAAAGTTTACATGAGGGTATTGCCCACATCTGGAAGGAACACTTCACCTTTCATTTAGTATATTTATATGGAGACTTGTCTCTGGATGCAAAATGGAAACTTCAAAGAGCATCATTTCTTCAGTGGAGTCATTTCAAAGAAATGCGGGAAAAGGAAATGGTCCGCTGTGTGCTCACCTTTCTGCTGTGGAGATGTACAGAGATAAGTGGTATTCTAAGACGTTTTCCTTAAAAACATAGAAAAGTGGGGAAGAACAATGGAAGTTGAATGAGGAACAGAAGGCGTTAGGATTGCATTAGGATTTAAGAATGCCATAGTTAGGGTTTAGGGTGTCTTCAAGCCTGCAGATACTGTTTAAAGAAACATGAATGATGGGTGTTTTGAATTCCTGGCACCAGAACTTTAGTCCTTTATTTCTTTGTGCTTCCAAATGATAAAAGTTTACAGAAAGAAGGATTAAAGCCATCAAGTTAAAGTCTTTCTGTGTATCAGGAATTTCTATTTTAGATATACAGTAATCCCCCCTAATCTGTGGGGGATACATGCCAAGACCCACAGTAGATGCCTAAAACTGTGGATAGGACTGAGCCTTAGATACACACCAATGTTTTTTTTACATATACATGCATACCTATGATAACGTTTAATTTATAAATTGGACGCAGTAAGAGATAACAACAATAACTAATAATAAAATAGAATAATTATGACAATATACTGTTCACATTTCTATGGCATTATTATTATTATTATTATTTTTTGAGTTGGAGTCTCACTCTGGTGCCCAGACTGGAGTACAGTGGCATGCTCCCAGCCACCGCAGCCTCGACCTGCTGGGCTCAGGTGATCCTTCTGCCTCAGCCTTCCAAGTAGCTGTAACTACATTCTTAACCTAACTTCACCATGAAATTTTCCTTATTGAGTTGAGAACTTTCACCTTTCCAGTTAAAGGAAGGCTTTTATGGCCTCTCTTTGATGGATCCTAATAGCCAGCATCAGTACTTTGGTGTCTTGGGGCCATTATTAAGTATAATAAGGGCTATTTGAACACCAGCACTGCAGTGCTGTGACAACAGTTGATCTGATAACTGAGGTGGCTGCTAAATGACTAAGGGCTGGTGGCCTCTGCAGTGTGGAAACACTGGACAAAGGGAAGATTCCTATCCTCAATAGGAGGGCAGGAGATTTCATCATGCTTCTGAGAATGAATGACACACAACTTAAAACATAGGGATTGTTTATTTCTGGAATTTTCCATTTAATATTTTTGATCAACCATGGGTAACTGCACTTTCAGGAAGCAAAACCGAGGTTAAGAGGGAATGGCAGTATAACATCAGGAAATATAAGCAGACTACTTTAGTGGGCTACAGCTGAGGATTTTCATTCAATATGCCTTTACCCCTCTCTGTTGTTTAAACGCTTATTTAAGATCATGGCTTTGACCAGCATTTCATGAATTTGAGCACAGACCTCCTATCTTACTTGCCTCATGGTTCCCATATTTCCAGGGCTAATTTTGGAAATTGGAGAGCAGAGATGATCTTCCCTCCCAAATCTGTTCTTTTAGTGCTATTTTTTTTCTAATAAAGGTGAGAAAACGAATTTTCTTTTATAGCCTATGATTTTTGGGTCATGTACATGAACAAGAAGGGGACTTTATTAGGTTTGGCCTTTGAGAAGAATGTAAAATATTGAATTTCTTCATTAAAAAGATAACAGTCTTGATTAAATAAATATATCAAATAATGAAAAAATATTTTAGTTCCATCTTGGTCAGTTGTTATAAAAAAGTCAGGGAGGAGGAGGAAAAGAGAAGCTGAAAGAGCCTTCAAGGAATTAAGGAGACTGACAGGGTAGAGAGGCCTGAAAGGGAAAAAAGGAGACAGGGAAAGAGAAAGAGAGGGGAATCTATCAGTCCAAAGATATGTTAACTTTTATTTCCTCCTCTGCTTGTATATAAGGGGAATATGAAGCTCACTGAAATTGAGTACCTTTGGTCAAGATCACAGAGAGGGGAAGTTAGGACTGTATTTCAGCACTTTGGACTCCTTATCTGGTGTTCTTCCCTTTATACCCCATTAAGAAACCACTTTTCAAATTCTTGGAAAACAAAACAAAAACACAAGCCAACCACACTATGACAACGCATCATAGCTCTTAGTAACTCTTGTCTTAGAGAGCCTCTCTTGCCTGCTGAAAATGATGCTGTGTGTTGTGAGCTGGAGAGGAGAATGTATGTCTCCTCCAGGTATCTTTTGTGTTCTTAAGCTGATGACTTCCCGTGTTTGGAATTGAGCATGACTGTGCTGTACTGAGTTTGTGTTGAATTATACTGTACATCACTGCTCAGGATAATCTAGCCATCTGTCTTATTTGGTAGTGCAGCATGCATTTATTCATTCCCTCATTCATTGAGTAGCTATTATATACCAGGCATTGTGGGGGTTCCAGATAGTATGCGAGCAGTCATTGACCTAAAGGAATTACAGTCCTGCTGGGCCAGATATGAGAGAAATGCCACGGTACTAGAGGTTGTGGAAGGAGAGGGAAAGAAGGGATGAATTCTGTGGTGAGATCTTGGTGGAGGAATGGCTCATTTGACAGTGCTCTGAAATTGTTGACTAAACTCCTGAGGTATAAATTGGACGTAAGGGACCAATTGACTTAGGTTTTCGTGTATAAAATCCTTATACAGATTGTTGAACATGATTAGTCTTCTGTCAAGTATGCTTTTGCCATCAGGCAGAAATGAAAACCTTTAGCCCTTGCTGGTACCCATATGTCCCAGGCTGGCTTTTTGAGATTTGGGCAGTGAGAGGGACTGGGAGGGTCCTTAAATCAAGTGCTTGCTAATTTGTGGCATCTTCTAATAGAATCTTGGTCTATGATGATTGCAGGTACTTTGTTTCACCATGGCACTCCTCCTTGTAATAATCCTAAATATGACTCAGTTAACTGTTAGATCTGTTACCTTCCTTAACTTTTTAACTTCCCAAACCAGTTTTACTCCCTGATGGGAAAAACTTCTTTAGTCTGAAAAGACAACAGTCAATTCTGTTTAGAAGTACTTGTTGGAAAATGCTTTATGGTGTAATACTCGATGGAAATCGTCTCAGGTATGCAAGCATTATTTCAGACACGCCCGAGAAACCCACCTATGTTAAACATGGGCTGGTGGCAACCTCTTGGGAGGAAGTGGGGAGAAAGAGGTGAGCTGGTGGGTTCCTTTTCCCATTGGTTGAAACAGAATTGCTATGGCGATTGGGTTGGGCAGGAGAAATGAAACTTTCTGGGATCCTGAACTTAAATTGCATACTTGGGTACTCCAGTCTGGGGGAGCTGAGTCAGACCATTGTGCCTTCAGAACAGCTCTCAGAGCCCCTGAGTTCTGAGGTGAAAGCAGGATGGAATATGTTCTTATACTCTGCATCTTGAAGCTGCTGAAGGCCCACCTTTCTGCTGGCAGAAACAACAGCAGGCAGTGGGTAGGAAGGGCTTCTTAGATTAGATAGTTACGGTATAAAACATGCGTATTGAAGATGATGTGTGATCAGACAGCCAAGATGAAATGTGCTTAATTTTATCAGAGTTATTAGACGTTTTTCAATAGGGCCCAAATATGATGACTTAAGAGCTGCATCATGATAATGGCTGTTTGTCGGCTGGGACTTTGTAATGCTCAGAACAACTCTTGGGAGATGTTATCTCTAGGTATTCTCGCCATTTGTTCAGGGTCCCCATACTGACAGAAATTATATGGCTAGTTCAAGGTCATACAATCAGAAAGTGGCAGAGTCCACAAGCTAACACCAGAGGATTTCATTCAAGTGGAATTTTCTTTTTTTTTTTGAGTCGGAATCTCACTCTGTCGCCCAAACTGGACTGCAGTGGCATGCTCCCGGCCACCGCAGCCTCGACCTATTGGGCTCCGGCGATCCTTCCGCCTCAGCCTTCCGAGTAGCCGGAATTACAGGCATGTACTACCACGCCTGGCTGATTTTTTGATTTATTGTAGAGATGAGGTCTCGCCAAGTTGCCCAGGTGGGTCTCCAACCCGCAGGCTCAGGCAATCCACTCACCTCAGCCTCCCAAAGCGTGGGATTACAGGCTGAGCCACTGAGCCTGGCTTCAAGTGGAATTTTCAGGAGGATTTGTCAGGGCAGTATCATATATGCATGTTCCACTGCTAAGGGCCTGAGCTTTGAATAGCTGTAGAATAAATGGCACATAGATTTTCCAGTAAAGCTCACAGATTTATATATATTTATATTTATATACATGTATATGTATACATGTATATAAATATAAATATATATATACACACACACAGACACACATATATATGTGTGTCTGTGTGTGTTTTTTCCCCAAAGGAAATCGAGACTTAGAGATATTTAGTGACTGGCAGAAGTCATGGACATGCTGAAATTGTAGAAATGGAGAGAATGACAGACAGAGAGTATGGGACCCTGAGGCCCTCAGTGCCATTGCTGGGACAAGGAATCCAATCTTCTAACCTCTGGAGGTTCTTTAGAGGTACCAAACTATCGGGGTTAGCAAAATCTCAGCTCAGTTTCTGTTAGTGCTTTTCTAATGATTCGTAGATATTTATTTATTCAACTAATATTCCTTGAGCACCTTCTTTTTTCCCATACTGCATGAGGGATAAATCAGTCTAAGGGAAACATAAGGTCTGCTTTCATGAGTTATTGTCTTGGAAATTCTTTACCCTGGCAAAAATCAGTAAAGCAGTGTTTATTCGTGGGTTATCTCTGCATATTAATTATTGTCATTTAAATGAGTCATAGTGGATAATGACCATTCTGAGTTTTCTTTTTTTGTGTTACCTTCCTAGCATAATGCTTTCTTTAATTTTTAATTTTAGATTCAGTGGGTACATATGCATATTCGTTACACGAGCATATTATGTAGTGGTGGGGACTGGGCCTCCTGTTGTTTTGAGTTATTTAGTAAAAGGAATCCCAAAATGTTTCTGCAAAGTTACATTTTTTTCTTTCATACTTAACAGTTTTCAGATAGATAATTTGAGATTTTGTATCAATTTTCACTCATCAAATTTTCACTCATTTTTAGCATCCGTTGACAGTTTTCTAATTCTGAGAGCTTTTTCCTTTCCTTTCCTGTTTATGTCTCAGTAAAGATTTGTGGATTTCATTGTTACTCAGTGGGTTCTGATTCACTGTTATCATTATTTATTTGAATGCTTTAAAATTATCTCAGATTCGTCTTGTGAGACCCCCTTCAAGCTGGCTCGTCTGTTCTTTGGACCCATCTTCACGATTCCTTGGATGTTTCCTTATTTTGTGGTACAAGAAGGTGTTTGTGGCCTGTCTTGGAATCATCTATTTCTTCAAGGAGCCCTTGGCTCCTTTTAGGGGAGAGTGATATTAGAAGCAAGGTCTGGGCACTGGAGTGCTGTCAGCTACTGGTGTGTCATTGCTTCCAGGGCCTCTCCGTGGATAGAGCTGGGGATGTGTATGTGTGTGGGAGAGAGTGCATATAAGCATCAATTAATTGATTGGTTTTTCTATAGCTCTTTATATTTTATTGTTGGTTTTTGCAAAGTAATGAAGGTAGGATTCTACTTAAACACAAATATGTAATTTTGTCTATGTATCTCTCTCCTGTTCTTTTAATTTAACAGGTGGCTCAACCCCTTGTTTAAAATTGGTCACAAACGGAGATTAGAAGAAGATGATATGTATTCGGTGCTTCCAGAAGATCGCTCAAAGCACCTTGGAGAAGAGTTGCAAGGGTAAGCAAGAGGCAGTAAAGAGAAGGGTAAGGAAGAATGGAATTTCTAAGTGTGTTTGGGATGGATTTTGCCTTCCTGGGTCCCATGCCTGCCACGGGGCCCTTCTGTACCCTGTGTCCTCTGACATTCCACATGTGCTCACTTCCCCCAGGCTGACTCTGGGCTCTCTGTGCCTTCGTAGATGTGGAGGGAGCCAGCACCAAGGCCTCAATGCCCAAGATCTGTCCCTAGAGATGGTTTCACTGGAGGAAGTCACCCAGCCGGCTTGAATGTTGTAATGATGAGGCTGTAAATCTAGCAAAGCTTGGAAGTAACTTGTTTTTCAAAACCAGAGAATTCCCCTGAAGGCCTGTTTTTCTGGTGCTACAGATTCTGGACCACACATCCTTTAGGAGCCTTAGGAATAATTAGCCGGCTACATTGATGGGACAGCTACAAAATGCCCCATCCTAAACACTTATCTGCCACTCTTGCATCTCCCCTTTTACCCTTTGGCGGGGCATGCTTTTACTAAGCTTTCTTCTCGTTGTAGGTACTGGGATAAAGAGGTTTTAAGAGCCGAGAATGACGCACAGAAGCCTTCTTTAACAAAAGCAATCATAAAGTGTTACTGGAAACCTTATTTAATTTTGGGAATTTTTACATTAATTGAGGTAAAAGCTTTTACACACACTGAATTGTTTTTCCGTATACATGAAGTAGACATGCTAGCTGTTGATCAGTATTGAAATGGATGTGGGAACTGGAGGGAAGAAGAGGCCAGATGGTGTTTGGAAGAATTTTAAGGTCTGAGGATTAAACATGTCTAGGAAGCATGAGGCAGTTCTGCAAATAAAATGGATAAATACTTAAGAACTTATTTTCTGTGTAAAAACATGTTTTTATTAGTGGCTTTTTGTTGTTGTTGTTTTTGAGACAGAGTCTTACTCTGTCCGCAAGCTGGAGTGCAGTGGTATAATCATAGCTCACTATAGCCTTGAACTCCTGGGCTCTAGCAGTCCCCCCATCTCAGCCTCCCAAGTAGCTGGGACTGCAAGTATGTACCACCACACCCAGCTAATTTTTATATATGTTTTTTTTTTTTTTTGAGTGGAGTCTCACTCTGTCGCCCAGACTGGAGTGCAGTGGCCGCTCCCGGCCACCGCAACCTCGCTGCTGGGCTCCGGCGATCCTTCCGCCTCAGCCTTCCAAGTAGCTGGAATTACAGGCATGTGCTACCACGCCCGGCTGATTTTTTGATTTATTGTAGAGATGAGGTCTCGCTGCCCAGGCGGGTCTTGAACCCGCGGGCTCAGGCAATCCACTCACCTCAGCCTCCCAAAGGCGCGGGATTACAGGCTGAGCCACCGAGCCTGGCTTTATATATGTTTTTTGTAGACACAGTGTCTCATGTTGCCCACGCTTGTCTTGAACTCCTGGGCTCAAGTGATCCTCCCAACTTGGCCTCCGAGAGTGCTGGATTATAGGCTTGAGTCACTACTTTTGGCATTTTTTTTTTACCCAATTAAAATATAGTGTAGTGGAAGGATGGTACTGAAAAAAGGCACTTTATACTATGCTAGGACAGTGTTGGTGCTCAGTAAATGTTATAAATGCTAAGAGTTATCCTTGATCAAAAGAGGATCCTATGACCTCCAAGAGTATGTGCCCTGTGGTTTGCAGGAAGTAAATTTGAATCAGAGCCCAGAACAATAGAAGACATTTTACAGGTGTTCAACAAATACTAGTTAACCGTGCCAAATCTGGTTAATGCTTTCCTGGGAACGTATTGTCATCTTTCCCCTCCCAGGGAAACAGAGCTCAGGGGCTTGCACCTGGATTGGCTGTGGTGCCTCAGAGACTGGAGCTGGCTTTGAGCACCCAAGAGCTGCCCCTTCCCAGCAGGCCAGGTGCTGTGAGCCCAAAGCCCCTCTGTGGAGGAGGCCCGGCTTTCCTTTGAATCCCAGGGAATTCATGCAGCACCCATTCTGATATCTTGTCCTTGGTTGTTGGAGTGAATTGCCGGTTGGAAGGTGCAGTCTTGGTTTCTGGCATTGCAGAGAGCGCAGAAGCACATGTTCTATAGAAAGCCAGGAGGACAGTGAAGTCCATTATCTTGAAGGGCCTCCTTGGAGGCCTGCCAGTAAGGCAGTGTTCTGCCTGGGGGCATGGTGCAAGGTAGCCTTCCTGTTCTGACCAGCAGCCTGCTGCAGGGGATGATGAAGATCCAGCTGGGTGGTTTTTGCCCTTCATGGTATCGTAGTGCTCACTTAGGGACATTGGTCATCCTGAGAACCCATGAGAGTAGCAGGGTAGAATTTGCCATTGCTACGAAAGGGTGGCTTTAAAGGCTGGAGTGTAGGGAGTTATCACGGTGCATTTGTTGGGGATGAGGAGGATAGGCCAGTGAGTTTGTATGTGGGACATGTGTATGTTGAGGGCACCTTGGGCATTGGGGAGATGGGTAGGTGAACTCTGCCCTATGCCATTGATGGCAACCAGAGGGATCTGTCCAGTAATAGGGCTCTGGATGGTCCTGGGAGGTGGGTGTTCTCATTGGTGATAAGGATGTGTTGGCCAGCATGCCAGATGGTGCGAGCTTTGAGAGGGTATCGCCCTTGCCTGTATGCAGCTGTGGCTTTGCAAAGGGTGGTGGTGAGCGGATGCAGGAGCCCCTCAAGCTTTCCTAGTGATGATGGCATTTCCACATGGTAACCATAAGTCTCTGTTTGAGATAAATAGGGTGACAAGCTGGTATTGTGTGACCTGTGTATGCATGATTGCCTGGCCAGATGCAGCTGTGCAACCTTGGCAAGCAGATCTGTTTTCTGCATGTCACTTAGCTGGAGCCTCTAGTGCCTGTGGCTCACGCCAGCTATCTAGTTGAGGGTGGGCAGAATGGGTGGCCCCCCAGAGTCCTCTATTGGGTAGGCCTCCTGCTTCTACCCCTGGTTCTCTAGTTTTCGTTTGTTACCAGCAGCTTAAGAAACTGATAATAGGGTCATCTTCAAGGAACTGAGATTGTGGTTGTCCCTGCTGTCGTGGACTGCCAGTAGCTTGGTGTGTGGAGCTCACCAGTCTCTAGGTGGTGACTGGATCCATCTCAGAATGAACTGCCAGTCTTGCCCGGCAAGCTTTTGGAAGAAGTAGGCGCAGAGGTAGAGATGGCAGAAAACGGTATTTTTGCTCAGAGTGGGCAGGCCCCACTGTGTGCTGGGAGCATTGATTTCAAAGTTGTCCAGCCTGGGTAACACTTATTGTTGGTGGGGATGGGTTGGGGATGGGGGAGACATGGGGAGACCAGAATTGAGAGGTGCTTAATACAGGTGTAACTGGTAGAATGCTGGCCTCTCTTTTGGAAGGTTGGTTGTTGGAAGTCATGGCGGAAGAGTGGAGAGGAGAGCACCTGGCAAATGTGTAGGGCTTGTACTCAGTAGTAGAACTCGCAGCAGTAGTGGGAGTACTCCTTAGAGTGGTAGTAGTACTCCTCAGCAGTACTCCTCAGTAGTGCTTAGCAGTGGTAGAACCAGTAGCAGCAGCGGTAGTCTTAGTAAGGGCTCATACTCATAGTAGTTATAATAATAATAATAGTAAGTACATGAAAAATATTATATACCAGGAACTTCTGAGAGTACTTTATATATAATATTACTTTTACTGCTTTGACTGACTCAATGAGATAGAAGGTATTCTTACACGCTCTGCTCTCGAGAAGAGGACACTTGGTGCCAGGCAGTATGTAATGTGCCTAGGGTCACACAAAACATAAATGACAGAGATGAGGCAGAGTCTCAGATGCTCTGAGGGACCTAACCATCTGTAGTCTAATAACTTGTCCTGTGTCATGAAGGCTTGTTTTGAGAACTTTGTGATTAGACTCTCAAGTGCATGTTTCTTGAGCTTGGCCTAGGAATTATAAGTCAGATGCTAAGAGCTCCAGGGGTTGTAGAACTTGGTTGTGGGAAGTCAACTGGAGATCATATATAACCTAAAATCACCACAGGTACCATGACTCCCTGGGCCAGAAAGTTACAGGAAATGCTGGAAATTGGCTGGAGTGTTGGCCATGTCAGAGCATCATGGAATATTCAGGTCAACCAGGAGCACTGTAGAAAGCTGTCCCTCTCATCACCATCTCCCAAATGAATGAAGCCTGGTTGCCCTGCTGACCCAAGTTCTTAAACATCTACGCTGTTCAAACATCATTGAGTTGTCTCCTTAGATGGACCAGGAGGAAGTTGTGGTCTTGGATGGTGATGAAATTGGGACTCTGACAGTCTGGGTAGAGGTCGCAGTCCCTGTGTTTTTACTTATCAAGGGCATCTGATTTCCTCTCAAGCAATAGTAACTCTGTGCTTTCAGAAGTCATTGACCTGAATCATGGAAAAGGGGTTGTTTATGTGTGTGCATTTACTTGGCAAGAGTGAGGACCCCAGATTGGTCACTAATATGGGGGCATCTCTTCTGTTCTGGTGTCTCAACACACTTTCCTACTTGCAGGGTGGGCACCAGGCTTTGGGTATTAGCGTGGCAAACTGTGTGGACCTATACAGTGCTGATGGCAGGCATGGTTCTTGGGCAGTGAAGCCTGGACTTTTCCTAGGAGAGTCCTTACTTGTTGGTGCTGTGTTCAGATCAGTATCTTAGTGGCTTACTGTGTAAGATTAGACAGTGGCCTATTATTTCCTTGATAAGTATGGTAACTAGCAGATGATGCTTATTTTAACTTTGTATCTTTAACATAGTAACTGGTAGAACTTTTAATTCTGAGCTCAACTAGAGGTAAACCTTGGGCTCTTTTTTTTTCCTGGCAGTAAAAAGAAGCTTAAATTCCAGTACCGATGCTCTTGTTTTCTTAGACTTGCCTGTTGACACTACTGTTTTGAAGAAGTTAGGAATAATTTCTTAAGGTGAAGCTAGTGAGTGTCTGTCAATTTCAAAAATTCTTTCACGTGTATTTGGGGTTTCCAATCCGTAAAGCTAGTTGTTGACTTAGAATGCTACTTTCATAATTGATTTTATGAAGAGGCTTTGCTTTTTGTGATTGTGTATCTCTGCTGCTTATTGATCTTTATATTTTTGATGATGAAGGGTCTGAATTCAGCCTAGCATTTTGTTTAAAGCAGACCTACCTTTGCCATGACCTTCAGGCCCTGTTTAATTCTCCTGGTGTGCAGAACACCTGTGCAGTGTGCGTATGACTCGTTACCCAGCCAGAAGGTAAGCAGGGACTTCCCCATATATTCTTGGTGGCACAAGCAGCAAGAGGCAGGGTGACACCAGTTCAGAGATGGCTTTGAGGTTGGGACTTCAAAGTAGTGCAAACCTCTGTCCTGTGGGAGTTGAGGAATGCTTGTAATACGTGGAGAAATAAGTCCTAGTCTAATGGTGAACACAGTGCTCTTGCAGGCCAGTGCTAATTGGAACAGATCTGCCTGTGAGTTCCCGGCACACCTGTCCCCTGTGTGCACCTCCACGGTGACTGTAATGGGGACTGAGTAAGTCTCCACCACCCATAGCTCTCCAGGGAACCAGGAGGAGCTTGGAAAGCCTCTGCACAGGCCAAACCATGACAGTCTTCTCCCTCGGGGGTCTTTTCTTTGAGATATGAGGTGTTTTTTTTTTTTTGGTTTGGTTTTGTTTTTTGTTGACTTCAGCTCTACATTTCTTGGTC